ATATATATATATATATATATATATATATATATATAACTGTTTTTAAATGCATGATTTTTCCAGTTAAAAATGATCATGTGGCATTTTAAGTATCTTAAGCCACTGACATAGAAATTTACTGATTTATTAGAGTTTATTGAACATGTTTTAGTATAGTAATAGTGTCTTGGATTATAATGTTTGTGTGTCTTTATAGTAAAACATAAGCACCCTCAGGCCTCTCAGTTGACAAGCATTTCATGCTCACACACACATGATGATTGTGATTTCTGGCTTTTTGAGATGTTTTTCTTAGTTGCTGAGTTAATGATCTGTTCCTTTTACATGAACCCGCTGATGTCTCTACCATAAAGGGTTTGCCAACATGGTATTTTCTCAAGACGAACTAAAATTAATTAGAAATCTTAAAATGCTGACGAAATAAGTTGTAATATGGAAATTGCAAAAAATTGTTTGGGTTTTTCAGATTTATATGTTTACTTTTTGTGAATGAAAAAATTGTTGTAACAACTTCTTGAATTTCCTTTTAATGTATACACAATAAAAAAAATGCTTATACTAATATAAGAGAGTTCTTGTACATTCTGGGGGCCTAAATTCTTGAAGTAAAAAGTATTAAACAAATATCATTTTATTTGGTCAAATTACATTTGTTTCATTTATGGCAAAAAATAAAAATGAAATAACAGGTGAAAATATCCAAAACGTTGATCAAAAGCTGATTATAATTTTTCATACTCTTAGAAATGTTTCTGTGAAGCAGTGTGATACCATTAGTGTTCTTAGTTGCTTAGTTTGAAGAGTTAAAAATATTCTTTAGTGTTTTTGGTAAGTGGATCACAGTGGTGTTACCTGTTTACTCAAAAAGTCAAAGATCTAAAATAATCATTACCTAGCTTTTAGAAAAAATGGTGAAAATTACATTGCTAAGCTAAAAGCTTTTGCTAAAAATCTTATGAATTTAGTTGTCAAATCATTGTCATCCTTTAAAAGAAATTCAGGGTCCTAATTATCATTTTCTCGAATACAAAATTTCTAACACTTAATAAAAACTTCCAAGGTACTGATACAAGTACATGGAAGTTGATGAAGTGCCATAGGACTGATATGTTATTGATTTCCTCATTAATCATATTTTGTTATTAATGCTGTTTATAATTTTCCCAATGAACTTTTGTAGAAAAAGAGTACATTTGTAGTGTTATATGGTGACATTAATTGCTGAGTTATACGCTTCCTTCCTTCTCATTCTTGTAATCAGTCCAGAATCATTATTAGTAACAGCAACTGAACTGTGTGATTTAATTTGTCTGGACTTGTTTTAGTTGGTAATGTATCAAAACAATTTATGGTATTCAACAGACTGTGAAGCTGTAAAGAAAATACATTTGTTTTAACTATGTTCCTTCTATATTAGGTTGTAAGAGTGTGTGTGTGTTTGTGTAAGGCTCAAAGTAAGTGAGTAAGAGACATTTCAAGATCAATTATCTATTTGCATAGTTGCATTTTTGTGATAACAATAATGAATGATAATCATCACTTCAAGCTGACACCATAACTGTTTGTGCATTTCAGATGACTGTTTTTGAAATTTGTCAATTTTACTTAGTAAACATAGTAGTAATAGATGAATTTTTGTATTTTCTTTCTTTCTTGGCACTTGGATTTGGAAACTTATTATTAAGAACAAAATAAGAATATAATTCTAGTGAGAATGTTTACTTCACCTTGGGTTTTCTCTTTCTAAGACATAGATGCAACAAGACATTTCTAAATTTCTATTCTTGTTTTCACAGGTCCAATATTAACATCAATGATGTCCTGGGTGACTACAGTTTGACTTTAATTGATGCTTTGAGCACCTTGGCTGTAAGTTGTATATTCACATAGAGAATATAAAGCATGATGTTTTTCATGCATCTTCAGCTCAGTATGATTAATGCATTTGATGACAAGAGTTTCACTGGTTTTGTAAACTGCCCAATAAATTCTTAGTCAGTGGAGGAGACTTGGTGAAATCACCGAGAGAATTTCATGGAACAATAAAGAAAAACTTTATTAATGTTTGTCAATTAATAATGGTCAGGTTTTTACTCTTTTTTTTTTACTTTACATTCAGTTTTGTTACAAGTACTTTGTCATTGCTGTGTATCATTTGGCCAAAGGTGCTGTGGTTAGTATTACTTTTTAAACACAAATAATTTTAAATGAAGAAAGATTGGAAGTTCTTTGTTTCTGTATTCTTGAAAATGCTTGACTTTTTAATTTGACATACAAATGTGAGAGTGAGAAAAGTTTAAAGATGCAGTTATTAGCCAGTAAGAACACATATGTATGCAATCACTTGAGATTCAACTTAAGACTCAAATTAAATTTTCATAGTTATTATCAAAAATGAAGTTAGATTCGAAATGAAATGAAATTTGCATAAATCCAAGTAAGACTGATATACAATAACATCAATATAGTGGTATGTCAACCCACTAATTGCCTGACCACAACACAAGGTATTATAAAGCTTCATACTCATAGTTAAAAAAGCCTTATGAGCGTAGGAGGGACAAGGACAGCTTGTACTCTTGGATAGCCAAGTTGGATAGAGCATTGTCCCTGTTAGCCAAAGGTCCTACGTTCAAGCTATAGTTCCAGAATTTCTTTTACTTATCAGCTTTTTCGCTTACAGTAATGTTTCTTAGAAGTGTACTTTTAATGATTCATAATATGAACTTCATATAGTAGTAATAAAGGAATATATAAATGTGATACTAGTTATACCCCTATTATTTAGTTAGGTGGTGGTAAATCAACCCACTAATTCCTTGACCACAAGAACATAAATTAGCATGAAGTTTCATACTCGTAGTTAAAAAGCCTTATGAGTGGACTGAGACAGGGACAGCTTGTTATCTTGGATAGCCAAAGTGGATAGAGTATTGGCCCTGTTAGCCAAATGTTCTAGGTTCAAGCCCTAGTGTTGGCATTTCTTTTTACTTATTGGCTTTTTCACTTACGATAATGTTTCTTAAAAAATAATAACATTAATATGTTCAGTACATTTTAAGGTGTTATAATAAATATGGATATATTAATATATTAAAAAAAAGAACAGGTAAAAAATGTCAGTGACAATAAACCTTTTTCAGGATATTAATTATCAAAGAAAAGTAGCCTGTATAACGAAAAATAATGTATACATACATTTGTGTTAGTAAGTGTTCTTTGTATACATATGATGTATGTATTTAAAGAGCAATAATACATAAAAATATTATGGTGTCTTATTAATGTTTTCTTATATGATTTATAGTGTTATTGATCCACACACTATATTTTTGTTACCTTGTATTGTCATAATACCTTTTGAAATTAACCTGTTCATTCAGAAAATAAATAAAAAATTCTTAGTTCTAAATCAATTATGAAGTTTCCAATAGATGTAAATATACTTCTTCGGTATCTGTACATATCATTCAACTTTTATGTTATACATTTATTAAGTAATTTTACAAAAATTAACCTAACAGTACATTAACTAACCATACATAAAAGATTACTAAAAGATTTGTCAGGAACTGTTCTGGTCTAAGCATTTCCTTTTAATGTATCATGAATTGCATATTTGCTAGTTTTAATCTGTATAATATAGTCTTTCAGAAATGTGCAGTGAGAATCTAGGAAGGAAACAATTAAATAAAAAACAACATAAATGTTACCATTGTATTAAAAGCATTCACATTGAAAGCACCTTACTGACGTAATAGTATATAGTTCTTGAAATCTAGAAGTTACAGTTTCAGAAAGTATAACCTAACACTTGTTTATATGTTTTTAAACATACCCATTGTGTATATATATTTTGATTTACACTCTACTTACCTATACAATAGGTATTTGTACATTTTATGATAGATTGTTTTTGTTGATCATTTGTAAGTTCATTAATCTTTAACACCATAAAAGTACCAGTTTGTTTTTTGCTGGTGTTACTTATGGGTTTTCAGCTAAGGAATAAGATACTATGTAAAAAGTATAAGTTCAGACCAACATCTTTACATATGCTACTAGTAGGTTTTCATCTCTATGCTGCAAATATATATTTGTAAATTTTTTTATTTATTAGAAGATTCAATGTATGTATTTTTTCGTAGCTAAATATCAGTACATACAAAAACCAAACATGTAATTTTTTTTGTAAAACTTATAACAGGTGTCACTACTAGTTTTAAGCATATTGTTTTGAGTCCTTTTAATAAGAACAAAACTTATAACAAGTTACAACATAATAATTTCCTATAACCTTACATCTTTTCACAGATAGTTATTCTTCTTCAGTTTTGCCCTCTATATACAAAAATGGTTTCACGTGCCACAAGCCTTAAGCTACCATGTACCCCACCGTTAACGTGGTTCAACTGCTTCTCGCATGTGACTCCCTCTATTCCATTCTACCAAACAATCCCTCTTATATGGCTTCAGGAAGAGAGAAGTCGACTAAAGAATTTTCAGTTTTTATTTATCAGGAGATTGAACATTATTTGAGTCGACCTTCTTCTCCCAAGAGTGCCAGATTTTCTCCTGAACAAGTCGAACCTGATCGTGACAAGAATTTTAAAGGCCTTTTTCCTCGTGCACCTCTTCTGTGGAATCTGCTAGGCCTAATTCAGCAATTTTATGATATGGTTTCTCAGGTTTGTTCCATTTTCTCCATTTCCCCAATTTCTTACAATCCAGTTCCTTCCTTATTACATGATAACCCTTCCTTCCAGTATTTTGTTTTTCTATCCTTCTCCTGATGTAGGGGCTCATGCTGAGCAAATTCTTTTCTGGGGCAAACATACTTTGCCATCCACTGGCCACAGATCATTTTGCCTTGGCTTACCATCAGGCAAATTACCTATTTCTTAATTCTCAGCAGTTAGACTCACTATTGCCAGTAAGGGGGGCTGTCCTTGACTGTCTTGTCCATTTATCCCAGGGCTAATTGACCACCTTCGTCTTACCCTTGCGACTCTCCTATGGTACTTGTCCACAATACACCTCCTTTCTGAAGCACTCCACCTATCTCCTGAAGGATTTTCATGGGGATACCTTCTTCCTCATTACTTCTAAGTTAACACTATTGTCCTCCTTGGCTTTCTCTTTAAATGCAATTTCTTTCTACTGGGACCTTCTGGGGAGAGACATTGTCTTGTCCCAGGTTCGTTTACTATCCTTTTACCTTAGGGACTTGTGGATGGCTCCTTTTTTCCAACTGTTCATTTTTGGGAATATTACTGACACTTTGGTATCACATGTGGAATCAGTAAGGCAACATTCGACCCTTTTGTCCTTGTTTCCTCATTTGTTTCAACCTGAGCCCTTGCTATTCCCTGTTCCTGTTCCACATCCAACACCTTCCCTTCCTTTACCTGTTCCTCTCACTGGGGGTTCCACCATTCGTCGTTCTTATCAACACAGGTCTCACCATTTCCAGCAGTACCAGTGACTATCCTGTGGGTTCCGGGCCAGTGGGACTCATTTGACCGATTTTGTTCACATATGATCGGAATTCACTACTGCTCATGGGGTTTTTCAGGTCTTTTCCTCACCCCCATTGTCTCCCATAGCCATATCATTTCCATTACCTCAGGATCCTATTACCACTCAATGTCTGTTAGAGGTGGTACTGTCCCTTCTATCACGGAGAGCTATGGAGCCTGTTAGTCATCCTTTTCCAGGCTTTTATTCCAAACTGTTTGTGGTACTCAAGAAAACCAGGGACTGGCATTCTGTGATTGATCTGTCCCACCTCAATCAATATCTGGAGCTTCCCCATTTTACAGTGGAGTCCTTTCTCACACTAAGGTGGGTTGTTCTCTCCAGGGTTGTGGATGACCAAGGTTGACATATCGTATGCCTATCTGCACATTCCTATTTCTCATTAGTGCAGATGCTGTCTTCGGTTTGTCCTTCATGGGGTTGTGCACCTGTTTTGTGCCTTAATCTTTGGGCTTGCTTCTGCTCTGTATTCCAGACTTTTCTCTGTCTTATGCGTGCTCAGGGGTTGTGCTTACACCATTACATGAATGAATGGCTTCTGTTAGTTCATTCTGAAATTGAGTTTTCACATCATGCCTGTCTCCGTCTGTCAGAAGCTTCTTGAGTGGTTTGGATTATCAAATTGGAGAAGTTTTTCCTGTCTCCTACCCATTCTCTTGTCTTCTTGGTGTCTTTTTCAACTCCCACCTCAGTTGGGCCTATTCCTATCCTCATTGACTCTATTTGATGGAGCTTTCAGTTCTACATGCTCTTGCTGCTCCCTCTATTACTGCTTGTGAAATTCTGTCCCTTTTGGGGATGTGGGCTTCTATGAAAGCACTTATCCCCTTGGATTGGGCACATGTGTTGTCTCTTCAGTGGACTCTGCATGACCAATGGAATATTTTTCAGAATCCCTTGGATTTTCCCATTTCCCTTCCTCCTTCTATTGTCGACAATCTGTATTGGTGGCTGAACAAGTCCCATATATCATTGGGCATACTGCTGCCTCCTCATTGCCTGGACTTGCATCTCTTCACTGATGCTTCCCTATATGGTTGGGGCGTGGGTTGATCAGCAGGAGGTTCTTCTGACTGCTTCTTACTTGCCAGCACAACTCTGGTTTCCTTGACTACTTCAATTCTGTACTGCCCCTCAGTTTTCACTTCATCCCTTCTTTGTCAACTCTTTGTCTTCATGCCTGACATTTATCAGGTCCTTGAGGAGGTGATCTGGATTGTCTTTGCAGATCATTTCCTTTTTTGGCTTGTTCCATTCACCCTTCCTCAATGATGGTTTATTAGTGTCTTTGGAACGTATTCCACTGTCAGTTGTTATGTCAGGGTTTTTCTTCTTCTTCACCCACCATTTTTCTTGTTACCAATTTCTTCATTTGGCTGTTTGATCCTGGGCCTTTGGTCTTGTCCATCACTGGATATTAAGCAGCCTTATCTCACACTCTCCATTTTTCCCTGTACCATCTTGTGTTTATCTACCCTATTCTCTCCATGTTGTTACATTCCTTCTAGATTAATAGATTACTCATTGAGCATTTCTTCTGGATTAGGATGTTAATGTGGTTTTTCACTCCCTTACTTTACCTCCATTTGAACCTTTGTCCTCCTATTCTTTGATTCACTTGTCCCTTCAGACCTACCCTACTTCCTTCTCCTATCAGTCTGTGGGTGTCATTGGTCTGATATATTTGCCATCGATGTCTCCCACAATCTGTACTATTCCACATAAGTTCTCCTTTATCTGGATCGATTTGGATGTGCTCTGGTAATTTTCTGCCCATGTATGCAACACCTTTTTCCACACTGTGCGTAGAGTATACCTGGTACAGATGTGGTACCAGGATCTTCACTTTTCAGGTGCTCATTGAACACTTTCGAAGGATGCTTCTTTCTTTCCCTTGCTCCGGTCCCTCCACCTATTCAATGTGGGATTCTAGCTATATCTGTGAGAAGAGGTAAGGTACTGTATCAGAAGTTATAATTTTCCTATACTGAAAATGTATTTTCAATACCTTCTCTCAAACTTCCCACCATTCCTCCCCACTAAAAACTGGTGCTTCCATTTTCTGCCAAAACTCAAAGTGATAGTTTGGAAGAATCGAATAGGGGGAATCACACACGTCAAAAGGGTGTTTTGCCCTCCTAATGGTGGAGGGTTGTTGCATGATGATTTTCATGTGAGATGCAGTTGAACCACGTTGATCTTAGGGTATGTGGGAGCTCAAGGCTTGTGGCATGCAAAAAACTCTTTGCATATAGAGGGAAGCACTTAACAAGAATAACTATCTGTGAGAGGAGGTAAGTACCAATCGGAAATACATTTTAAGTATAGGTAAATTATTATGTTCACTAAATGGATACTTGAAATAGTTTTTAGTGTATTAAATGTAATTTTACATTTCACTATATATTTTATATGAGTGTCTTATAAATTATTAAATATTAGTATTTAATTTAAGTTTTCATTATTTTTTATAGTTCTGTTCTAAATGTAAGGAAAACTATAAAGTGAAAAACCTGACAATGTAATGAAGTATTTATTCAAGGTTTAAATAATTTATTCATGTGCATGTATGATAGGCTATTTCTATTTGTCCAGGTTATTAAAAATACATTTGTCTTTTAGTTTCCTATTAGAAATATATTACTAAAATGTGACTTTCCTTCAATTTATCTATTTAGAAAAGCTTGTTCATTCTGTCAAATTGTCTAGTTAAAGGCATCCAGTAAAATAATTTTGAAGATTGTATTTATTCATCGTTAGGAAAGATCTGACGTGTTATTTGAAAAATAGTTTGATGCGAGTGATAAATTATTTCAATATTTTACTTTGCATGGATCAGATTCCAAGAACAACAGTGTATTTTCTTATTTATACGTTTAGGTAATGGGAAATTCCAGTGAGTTTAAAAATGCTGTCAGGCTGGTTGTTGAAAATGTGTCCTTTGATAAAGACAATACAGTTCAGGTGTTTGAAGCAAATATCAGGTAAAGGGATAGCTTATATATGTTCCTAATGTTGTATGATGTACATGTATATAAGATAGTTTTTTGAGAAGTATGGAATAATTACATTAATATCATTAAATTGATTTAAGAATTAAAAATCGCAGTTCCTTTATGAAAATATACCTATACATAATGCTAACTGTAATATATACTAGTTAATGTATTAAAGTATCTTATAACAAAATTGTTTTTGATATTCTAATTGGTGTTAAAATGATAAGTACATATGAAAGGTTTTGTAGTAAGAAAGAAAAAGTTTGGTATATTTCAATACATATTAAAACCATAGATAAGAATGACTTGTATTTTTATAAATCGGCAAGAAATATAAAATAAGTTCAGTTTGATAGTATTCATTCAGTTTTGAGCTGAACCACTCACTTGAAAGATCTGTTTCCAAAGGCATTTTTAATATCTGGAGCCACTTGATGGGATGCAGTGTGTCTCTCAAAAGCATCCTATACCATGTTTTTAGGATTGAAATCTGGGGAGCATGGAAGATCCTACAGCCAGTTAATCTCATTTTTCTTTAAGGAATTTGTCAACCCATTTATAATGGTGGTGGATCAGGTTTCCAGATTTTCTTCAAATTAGTACAAGTCTGTTATCTGGCTGTAAGATGAAGTATGAATCATTTTTAAGAGAAACATTGGTCCACCGGATAAGTTCTTCGCACCATTGCAGGCAAGCTGTTTTCTTCTTTATTGGTAGCAGATTGCACTTCAGTGGCCATCTGAAGTCTGTACTTATCCATCTGTTGTGATGACATATATCTTCTTCAGTCATGGAGCAGGTACTCTACAGTTGCAGTGTAACTCAACAGATAATGGCCATCTATCTGCTTGTGTCTGACAAGGTATCAAATAAGTGTTACAATTGGTTTGAAAGTGATTCCAGGATCTGCTGTTGATATTGATATTTGTAAATCTTGCAACCATTTCAAGACAACCTTTTCTGGTTAAGAAGGTTCTATTAATCTGGTTAAATGTCTTCATTTAGGTCCAGCTGTGGGTCATGAATAATTTGGAGCACCATAAGCTCTGTAATTATTTCAGTCAAAATAAAACAAGATTGTGTGAGAAAATGACATATAGCATATACTTAATGATCAAGTGATCTGTATTTCAAATCACTTGATGCCTAATTTGCATAAGTGTTGTATTTTTGCGTTGTTATATATATAAATATTACAATTTTCCTTTGATTATTTTACAAATTGTGTATATGGATAATTAAAGTTAGTGTGCCAAGAATAGTGGCTTGACTTTTACAAAACTGAAGAACAACTCATGGATAGTGACCCCCATAGAAAGATTTGTAAATTAACAAGTTCTTGCTTCTAGCCTCAATGATCACTGTTTTGTCAGATGTTTCAGTCACCTAAATCACAAGTAAATGTATAAGTCCTTTAGAAGTTAGCAGGTATTAACTCAATCTCATATCCAGTTAACTCTATGCACACAGGCTCAGGCAATTTGACTGACCACATGACCTTTTTGTACTTGTAGAGAGTCTTTATTGATTTGATACTACTAACTTTTGATATAGTGGAAATTTAGCAGTTTTTCAGTAAACATTCACATACAAAAAATCATGTTTTTAGTGAAGTATTTTTAATAAACTAAAAAAAAAGATTTGTCCTTGAATATATTGAGTATTTGTTTTGAATAGTCCGTGTGCAAAGTGATTTTAATGTTAAGATTAAAAATACTTTTCTTCTTCTCAAAATCTCAAATTTCATTTGTGTAATCTCTACAATCTCCTAAATACATTTCAAGTGTTTGCTTTTAGTAAAACTTTATATTTTATCTGTTATTTTCTCTGCCCTAACTCTATACAAGTTTGGTCAATTTGACCGACCTCATAACCACCCAAAAAAATTGAAATAAATCTAAATTACTCTCCTTTTCTTTCTAGAATGACTTCAAATGTAGCGTGAAATTACAATCGTTTATCCTAAGTAGCTTTAAACTCGTAACAGTATACATCTACTTATAATTAAATTTTATTGTTTTATTGCCCTTTGAACTGTATCTAACTACTATTCGTGCCATTATAAGTTGTAAATCAATTGGGGAACAGCTCATGTTACATTATCGAATTACATTACTCACAAGCTACTATTTATTTTAACTAATTTAATCTTAACTAACCTAAAAGATCCCAATTTTTTATATTTTAATTACTTTTATTATAATAAATAAAGAATAACCACGAAAAATAAAAAATAAAGTACTTAACCAGTCTTCTTTTTTCTTCCTGTCAATTGTTGATGAAAATTAACCCTACTTTTTTATACTGATAGTAGTAATGTACTAAATACTTTTTATTTAATTAAATAATGAACCAAAGAACACAGAATAATAATGTGCAAAAAGTAAACAATTTCCCCAAACTCTCAAACATTTTCTGGCTTTCTAACTATGTGATAAGAGCAATTACAAATTCATCCAAGCTAGTTATTAACATTCCCACAGAAATGAATCTTGTACTCTGAGTGAAATTAATGATATTCTGTTCAGAACACAAAGTTATAAAATGCATTATTTGACATATGAAAACCTTTACTTTCTATTGGTTATAGGTAATATATAATTAAATGTAAAAGAGAAATATTAACAAATCCTGAAAGAGGATGTGACAGGTGGGTGTGGCAGGAGGAGTCTGATTTTCTATTTGATAGTTCTGTGACAAAACAAAATTGAAGGCTATAAAAATTATGGTTTGTCTGAGCAATGATTTTATAACTTACGTTTAATTTCGTAGTTTCTGGGAGGGGGTGGTAAAATAAAGATGAGAAGATACCTAGAGAAAATGAGTCATAGTGGAAATTCAGGATTTTTTTAAATATTGCATTATAAAATTAAGAACTTAAAACTTATATACTATTAAAATACAGATTATTTGCTAAGATTTTACGTTATACTATTTGGTATAACATAAACAAAAAGTAGTTTAATAAAATTTTGAATGGAAGACACTAATACCTTGTGTCATGCTCAGTAAAGGATACGTGGGGCAAGAGGGTTAAAAAGTTAAACTGTGATCCCGTATATCTTGAGAACCATTGGAACTAGAAACCTGAATGTTTCTCTGTGAGGTCATTATCTTTGATTTTTTTTTTCTCATATTCTGAAACAGTCTGGAAACACTACATTTTCAAAATTTGGTGCTTTTGAGCTAAAATTATGTCCATTCATTCTATTTGTGCAGGATAATGTACTAAGAGAAAAATGTGTTATATTCCAGGATATTAGGTGCCTTATTATCTGCTCATTTTATTATAATTGATCATCGGAAACCTTTTGGAGATCTCAAGCCTTCTTGGTACAAAGGAGAATTACTATCGCTTGCTCATGACTTGGCCAGTCGTCTTCTCATGGCTTTTGAAAATTCAACTACAGGAATTCCTTATCCACGGGTGAGTAACTGTATTGTTCAAACACAGCTTAATGGTGTTTTTATCTCTCAGGGTTTTTGGTGATTAGAATATTCTTATGTGATTTCTTTTTGTTGATGAGATTTATTAGAAATATTATTTCAATATTTTATTAAATTAACATGTCCTCTTTTCCCTCAGTGTAGTCACAGATCTCATTAAGCTAATGAAAGCTCTAGTCTAAGTTTTAAATGAAGTGTTTCTAGGTTAAAATATTTAGAAGGTAGCTAATGACTTTAACACTACAGACTTCACTAAGCCAGTTCATACCTTCAGACAAGCCTTACAATTAGAGCCACTAACTGTCTTTGTATAGGCAGTTGCTAGTTAATGAGATATTTTGTTTACAATTGAAGGTTATCAAATATACTGGGTCATAATAAAGACTACAGTACACACACACACACACACACACACACACACACAAATTTAAAATCCCAAACTTAAATTTAAATATTAAGTAAAGATTTTTCCTTAAAAGAATTATTGAATGCTCTTTGAAAACTGAATGACTGTAGCTTCCATTATACATTACAGCTCTTATCACAACAATCAAATTATATTTAATCAAGAAGGCAAACATTATTGATCTGTAAGTAGTGAGCTTTTGCAATGAGTAAAAGTAGCTTATATTTGTATAGACAGTGATGGAACAAGTAATATTTTCTCATTCAGGACTTCTAGATTTCAAAATTAACATTTAATAGTTCAGATTTGTATCGGGAACCAATGAAAAATGTTTGGACATCCAGAAAACCTTTCAAGATACTAGAAAATATACATTGCTTATCAGAATATATTAGCTTGCAGAGTTTTAAAAGTAATATAAAAATATTTAAAGTAATTAGTAAAGTGAAAGATAGTTTCTGGTATAAAAGTGTGAAGTTACTCCAATATATAGTCACAACTGGTTAAAATCCAGTTCACAGACACCTGCCATATGTTTTTGGCACAAAAATCCTTTGTTGATTTTACCAATACAAAGTTCATTAGTGTTTATTTTTATATAGTAACCAATAATAGTATTGAGAGAGAAATAGATACACAAGCAGTTTTTTTTAAACTGATGATGACAGAACATTGTGTAACAGAAACTAGATTGTGTGATGATTTGGAAAAAGCTGTGTAATTATTTTTTTTTTAACTTTATATCATGTACTATTTTTAATCACACACATTAAAATTTAGAATGAATTTGCATTATTACATTAATTGCTAATTCCCTTTTTCAAGGGTGTAATATTGTGACAAAAACTAGTATGTGAATATCCTGCATTAGGTAAATCTTCGTCATGGGGTGCCAAAGGAAACATCCACCCACACTTGCACAGCTGGTGCAGGATCTTTGCTTCTTGAATTTGGAATGCTGAGTCGTCTTCTGCGTGATCCGGTTTATGAAGGTGTTGCCCGGAGGGCTAGTAATGCCATCTGGGAGCTTCGTTCAAAGAGCACAGGACTAGTTGGTTAGAGTACAGTTTTCATTTTTTAACTACATACATTGAATTGATAGGTATCTTTACTTATCTGTACAAATATTTTATCTTTGTTAATTGCACAAAATTATACATTATATTCAAGAATTCTTAATGCTAAATTGCTTTATATAGGTTTCAAAACATAATAAAAATTTCCTGTAGCACTAAACAATAAAGGTGTTAATAATATTTTTTCAATACATTGTAATGTTTTTTTAACTTTTTTGTGTATTTGATTGCTTTAAGAATATATATAAATAGTTTTTAATTTATTTTTTGTCTTGTTATAGGAGTACATTAGCCTCATTATTCTATAAAACCAGATATGTTAAGACAGTTTCTTTTTGATAGGACACAAAGATTATTAAAGGTTTACTATTATTTTTTTCCTAACTTTCCACTGCTCTTATGTAGATTGTATTCTGAGATACTTAAATTAGTATTCAAAATGAATGCACAAATTTTAAAACATCTTTATTTCAAAACATACTTACTTTTGCTGACACTTATAGCTACTACTCGAGCTCTAGGGTTTCTTCCTTTGTCCATCTAAGCATTGGTCTGATTTTTTCTCGCTTGCCTCAGTCTTTTATGCCTCACTCAATTGCCCTTGGTGATATTTCTCTCGTGATATTCTCCACCTACGTCAATGTGCCCTCTATCCTGATACTGTATATAAGCACCTCATTCAGATAATGTTATCGCTTTTTCTCGACAAAGTGTTCAGACACGAGTTTCTCTAAAGAAGTGCTGTGAATGTCCTTGGGTGCAATTTTCATGTCACCTAAGTTGATTTCTGTTCAATGATATTTTAACAAAACTCCTTTGGTTTTTACACACCATTTTCAGACATGAATTCCTGAGTTGCTGCTTCCAGCACTCCCCAATCAAACCTTTTACTCTCAACAGTTTGGGGGGGGGTCACTTTCAGTTGAGGCTGTCCATGATCTGATTCGTTGGAAGATGGAGACACGTATTTGGTCTGGGAGGTTCTGAGGCTGCTTTTGCTGATGATACAGGATTTTTTGGGGAGAATTTAGACCCTCTTTTTCCGGTGCCTTCATTTACTAGGTTGGCTTTTCATGAGACCAGTTTGGATCAGCCACCTCCTGCTCCCTTTCTTCAGTTAGTCAGTTGGGTTTTTGAGGTTCTGAGGCTTTCTCCTGGTTGCTTTTGAATCTACTTCTTCCTTGATGGCAGAAAGGTCTGAGGGCAGATGCTTAATTTTTCCTCCTCCTCCTGATATTGCTATTCTTTCAGGAAGGTTTACCACTCAGTTACGTGAAGGGATAGCTATGCCTTGTCCCCCACATTTGTCAGAACAGCATGCAATGGCTTATCAGCACCAGGAGGGTGTATATTTAGATTCCCAAAAACTTGATCCACTTTTAGGAATGTGGGGTTCCACAATAGAGCCTGTGATCACTTTGAAGAGATCAACATTTTCTAAGATTTGTCTGACCTTCACAACAGTTCTGAGATATTTATCTTCCAACCAAATTTTGTCAGAAGCCTCTCAAAGATCCCCACATCAACTTGATGATGAATTGAGTCCTTTGATGATTTTTACCTTCTGTTCTATTTTTGGTTTCCTGGCTTTTATGTTGTTGGGACTCATTGGGTAGAGATGCCTTGTTGGAGGGAGTTCATCTACTTGTTGCTGCCCTCAGTGAGTTACATGAAGCTCCTTCTCTTCGTCCCTTGATGTTTTCAGGCATTCCAGAGGTGTTGGAATCATGGATTGATGTCACCCATTTGCATTCTTCCTTGTCATCATTGGCTCCTATTGGAAGTCATGGCACTACTGCTTGTCAGGTGTCCAGACTTAGGCTCCTCTATCTATTGGTACCCATAATAGATTCATTCCTTACCCAATAGGCTTCTCCCCTTGAGCATCACTAGTGGCAACAGTGACTACCCTATGATGGTGGAGTCTATGGGAACATGGTTACGACATTTTCTGGACTACAGATTCACGGGTACTCCAGGTTCTGGCATCAGGGTAGGTCAGTGGTTTTTAACCTTTTTTGCTCCATGCCCCACTTCGACACCTCAAAAAATTTGATGCCCCCTTAATGTAAAAACTAATTTGGTGTTGAAAAGGTATAATGATTTAATGTAAAATTTAGAAATTTAGTTTTGAGTCACGGAACGTTTTTCACTCGTCAAACCCAAATGAAAAATTTTTCTTATTGTAGCATTTTCAAATTGCCCCTGTGGGGCATGCACCCTACATTTAGAATCACTGTGGTAGGTCATTCAGTTCACATTTCCACCTCAATTATCCTGTGGTATTTCAACCCCCAACAGATCTTCAGAGTGTAGATCTTTGTTCCAGGGCTATTGGAGAATTGTTGGTCAAGGGGGCAGTAGAGAGAGTTGATCCCATTCTTCCGGGATTTTATTCCTGATTATTTGTTGTGTTCAAGAAGATGGGAAATTAGCATCTGACCATCAATCTTTCTCCTCTCAACTAATTCTTATATCCTCCCAGGTTCATGAAGGAGTCCTTTCTCAACCTACTTGGCATTTTTCACCAGGTATGTGGATGACCAGGTTCGATATTCCGATGCCTATTTCCACATTCCCATAGCAGAGTCATCCCACTGCTATTTACATTTTGTGCACAAGGGTCAGGTTCTGCAGTTCAGGACTCTCCCCATTGGCCAAGCATCTGCACCATATGTCTTCTGCAGTATCATACAAGCTTTTTCTTGTCACCTTCATTCTTTGGGCCTGTGTACACACCATTATATGGAGATCTGGTTACTTCTGACACCATCTCCTCAGTTGGAGGAATGGCACACCCAGATTCTCCTTTCAAAAGTCACCAGGGCTGGCTTTCTATTCAGAGCCAAGAAATCCATTCTCATGCCAATTCAATACATTGTCCATCTGGGTGTCTTTTTCAACATTAAGTCCATGTTATGGAACAGGTAGTCAGGCTCTTGCTTTTCCTTCTCCTACTGCACAAATGGTTCTCTTTTGGGGATGTGGGCATCCCTCGATTCTCTAATTTCTTTGGGACGAGCACACATGCAATCACTTCAGTGGTTGCTGCATAACCAATGGATCATGAACTGTGATACACTGGATCATCCAGTCTCCTTACTCAGGAGCAATGTCTTAGATCACGAGTGGTGGTTGGATTGGAACAACACTACAATAGGTATTCATGTATCACCCCCTCATCTTGAGATTCATTTTTCACAGATGCTTTATTTCAGGGATGGGGTGTGTGTATATCAACAATCAGGAATTCCAGGGTTTATGGACAGATAATGAATCTTCCTTCCACATTAGTATCTTAGAACTTCTTGCTGTCTAACAGGCAATGAGTCAAGGTCCAGCTCTGTTGCAGGGAAAAATCATTATGATTCATTCTGACAATTCCACAGTGGTATCTCACATTTCTCATCAAGGGAGTATGCTTTTTTCGGGACCTTTGTCTTTGAATTTTACATATTCTCTACTGGGTTCACTCCCATCATATCAGCCTCCTAGCTTCCCATGTTCCAGGAGTGATGAATTTAATAGCAGATCATTTGTCTTGGCCCAACCGATTTCTCCCTACCGAATGGATTCTACATTGCAAGGTTTTCCTGTGGATTTGCTCTTAGTTTGAGACTCCAATAATCGATGCATTCAGCACTCATTGGAACTATCAACTACAGGCATATTGGTCCCCAGTACTTCATCCTTGAGCTTTGGCAATAGATGCATTCAGGCAATACTGGATGAGATTACACCTCTATGCTTTCCTACTGATTCATCTGTTACCAAGAGTTCTGGCTATGGTTCGATCCACTCCTTGTCAAGTACTGTTGGTCACCCTGAATTGGCCGGCCCAACCATGGCTTCCTCTTCTTCAGTATCTTCAAGAGTGTCCACCTCTACCACTTCCTATTTGGCCATCTCTGTTGAGGCAACCACCATCCAACACCCAGACATTTGGAAGCTCAAATTTCATGCATGGAAGTTATGCAGTCTTTTGCACAGCATAAGGGTTTAACTTCTAAAGTTGCCTTATTTTTGTCTCAATCTTTTTGTAGACCCACAATGCCCATTTATCAAAGGAAATGGCACACTTACCACCAATGGTGTCTCATGAGGATATTGAACCCACTTCACTCAAATGTGCCAACCATATCTACTATCACCTTATGTAAGGCAGCTTTATCAATTACTTTTCAGTATTCTAAACATTGGCCTTCTCAAATCGTTTGCGTGTTCTTCATCTCAAAAGGCCTTTTCAATTACCTAACTGTGATATTAAGGTGATATTACATGCTTTGTCTTGACATCCGTTTGAGCCTTTAGCCTCATGTACTATGTATCACCTTTCCATTAAAGTGTATTTTTTGTTGCTGCTGGCCTGTGGATGTTGTAGGTCAGAGTTGTTTGCACTGCATGTACACAGGACCCTTTATCACTCTACTTATGTCCTGCTATACTCAGATAGGCCCTTCCTTTCTAAGACTCTGGCAGCTAGGGAAGAGGATAAATTTTTCTCACCAGTTCATTTGCCGACTATTTATCACCTCTATGACCACTCAGACCTCGATCGTTTGCTATGTTCCATCGAGGCCCTGAGGTATTATGTGGCTCACATTAATTCCTTTTTAGGTGCTATAAATCGACTTTTTAGTCATTGGGATCCTTCAGTTTCCTGCAATTTATCCCCAATTACCTTGATGAGGTGGGTTTGCAAACTGATCGTTATTGCTTATTCTGGACTATCCTTACAAGCGAGAAAACTTCTACGAGTCACATCTCATCACATTTGTCATATTTCTGTGTCTTTAGCTGCCTGATCGAACTATTTTTTGGTATGGCCGAGGGTTTTTTTACTCCTCTTGTACTTTCCAGGGTTCCTTACCTTCTTTTTTTTTTTTTTCTATTGGATCCCACTCTGTGGTGAATGTTGCCCACACAGGTGTGCTTTTATCAATCCAATTCTGCACTAGCAACCACTATTTTCCTATACTTACTACCAGTTGCAACAGGCTCTGTAGAAATGAGGTGTTCCATAAGACACCTAGGAGCTCACCAGACAGTATTATCCTACTATGCTTGACTGCCACTCATGAACTATCATGAGTAAAGCTAAAGGGGATCCTGCCCGTCCCTGCCAATCATCAGATTGAATAAATTGGAGTCGGTTTGCTTTTAAAAATTCATTGAACTTGGTTCACCTATTGCACTGTTTCTGAAGTACTAGTCCTCAGGACTCCCCATTGCACATTACCTCCCAGATTTTACAAGTGGAGTCCTCACCACACCCAATTTCCAGTCACTGGGATGGTGGACAGAGCCTTTTCCTCCAGGGTGTTAAAATGAATTATTCCATTCTTGGAGAAGTTGGGGGCCCTCCCACCTGAGTCCCTAGATGTTTTTTCCAAAATGTTGGTGGAAGTAGCACCAACCTATACGGGAGCCTACTCATAATACTGGTTCAAATTTGACACTGAGCTATCCCTTAATTCCAATCCCGGTAGTGGAACTTCGGCTATCTGGTTGGGGCTGGCCTATAGTGATGATCACTTGTACAATTCCACCCTTGATACAGGAACAAAGTTAAGGGTGAAAAGCATACCTGTTCTGGATGTAGTGTGGTTCCCCCCACTATGGTACCAATGTTCTCTTGGCACACCCATGATCTAATGCCCTCACCAGCCCCTCCACCTTCTCCGCCTAGCTATAAGTGTCAGTGGATGTATGTTTTCAAAATTAACATTTTTCCTAAATTGAAATTGTGTTTCCAATAATACTTACCTCTGCTGACAATCTCCCACCCTTCCTCCCCACTAAGAGCTGGTGTTAGAGACTGGGATGAAGTCAGTCGAAAAAAAAAGTGATAACGTTATGTGAAAAGGTGCTTATATATTGTATCAGGATAGAGGGTGCATTGACATAGGTGGAGAGTATCATCAGACAAGTATTGCCAAGGGCAATTGAGTGGGGTATAAGAAACCCTGGAGGTCAAGTAATAAGTATAAGTGTCAGCAGAGGTAAGTATTATTGGAAATACATTTTCAATTTACAAAAATGTTAACATCTTTTCACATAAACTGGATTTATTTTACGTTTGCAAAAGGTCCAATATTAAACAATTTTGTATATCAAACTGTTAACTTGTGGAATAGCAAATTCAAGATACAATGCAAACAGAAATCATTGTTACGTAACAAATGCATAGTGTTTAACACCCTCTTTTTTGCAAGGAGGAATTATAAAAAAAGTTATTGTTCTGAATGTAAAGAAAAACACATTACTATTTTAATGTGATATCTAATTTTCTTGCATGTTTCAATTTACAGCTACAGTAATACCGTGTTCTTTGTTTAGATTTTGTTGTCCTGTGGCCATTATTTTATTATTTCAATTGTGTTACTTGTCACAACCCAATCTCAGTAAAGTACTGTGTTTATCTCTGTTGAACAAAATCTAATTTTTCTGTTATTTTAGGAAATGTAATTGATGTGAATACTGGTGAATGGGTAGGAAAGATGAGTGGAGTTGGTGCAGGAATAGATTCTTATTATGAATATTTGCTCAAGGTAAGAATTTAACCTTTGGAAAAACTAGATTTTGTTATGAAAACATTAAAGAAGGAAGATAAAACATAATGAGAAGCTAAAAGTCCCAAACTAATAATTTTGTGTAACTTTTAGCTGAAAATAATGCCTATTTCTCAAAATATTTATACTGGAATTTATACTTTTTTTTTCACCTAAAATAT